TTTTTTTTTTGAATGAGATAGGCAAATTCCGTCAATTACATTTTCAAGCTGACACCTGGGTGCAACTGTTATGTAAGTAAAATTTTTTAATGCGGCAAATATTTTTTTTTTTGCTCCAGACCTTAGCAGAGGTACTTTTTCAAAATCACACTTTTCACACTTTTTTCAGCAATTTTTTAGAGATAGTAAATGTTTTATTTCTTGACTAGCTTTATACATAATAGATAGTAAAAATGTTGAAGTTTAGACCACTATTTTCAGTTTTGCAATATTCTGATTAGTTAAGCTGCTGTAACATTTCTATGTAATGTGGGACGCGCGTCCCGATTTACCCCCACGTCCCTGCTCGTCCTTTTTTACCCTGTTTGATGGTATATTTTGTGCATTTCTGAGGCGTTTCCCTTATTTTTGTCTGACCCCTGTATATCCATTTTATGAGATAACAGTAGAAGTCACTAATTTATGTTACGGTACCCTTATTATCTGTCAAATTTTTTAAATAACAATGTTGTGTGTGCTTGTATACTTGAAGTCAATATGCAATGTAGGCTGATTCCAAATAGTAGCCACTAATCTTTCTTTGTGTTATATTATAAGATTACAACTGCCATCAAGCCATTACACTGATCTCACTAAGACTGATCCTGAGTGCAAATAAATTACAACAATGGCATGGCTAATCACCAAGAGGTTCTTAGATGATGTATAAAGGAATTTGTTGAAGCATAGAAGCACTGCATTCTTGAAATATTTTACTGGCTAGACACTTTAGAACAGTATTATCTAGATTCTATTTTTAATCTGCTTTAACCTAAACTTAACCTGTTTATGGTTGAATTATTTTTAAAATTTGCTGGATGACTTTTTTTAAGGGAAGGGTGGCCCAGCGGTAAAGTTCAGAGTGCCAGAACTGGTGCAGAGAGGTGCGGGTTAGATCCCAGCTCTGCGCACCAGTTTATGGTCAGAATTGGCAAGGAGGCTGGGCAGTAAAGCAAAGCAAAATGGGAGCAGTAAGTTGATAGTTCAAGCCCGCAACCAGCTATGAATATTCTGCAGTATTAAGAATCAGTGACAGGCCCACAGCCGTGTAAATGCCGAAACCACTATACTATTATATGTGTCTCCAAGTATTCTTATTTCAATAAAAGATTGTATTTGTTTATTCTAATTCATCAAACACTTTATCTTGATACAGTTAAAGATCATTTATATCAATATTGCTCATATATCAATGTTTTTTTTTCCTAAAAAGCCTTGATAAAATTTTATTTTATTCTTTAAATTCAAATGCTCTACTTTACTTGGTACTTGAACTAGTTGGGCAAGAGTGATCATCAAGTATTATTTTACTACAGTATAGTGAACTACATTATGCTAGATCACCTTCTTTCATTGGCCCAAGAATGTGTAGAGTTACTGAGAGCTGAGATGGACCTGCTACTGCGAATACTGGCCATATTGGTGCCTCTGCTTGTCATCGAGCTTATGCTGATTGGCATGATGCTGGGGCTTGCCTTTCTCATGCTGACCATGGTAAGTTCATCATTGATAAATCTGTGATTTCACATTTGTTACTGTTAGTTTCTCGTGGCAAATTTATATTAATGATTAATATTTATAATTTGTTTACTGAAATATTTTGATAGTCCTTTCATCAATGTCTTTCTCCATGTGAGGGGATGCTTTTCCTGTAAAACCCATTCTTCAATATTTATTTAAATGACCTGTGGGGTTCAGTAATTGATAATGATACCAGGGTTATTGAGAGACAGCATGATGATTATTAATAGAGTAGCTGAGTAGGTATTTGTTTTTAAAGATTACATTTGGCTTACAGTTTATGGGAATACTTTCTTATATGTTGGAGCTTAAACACTTCTGTTATTGGCTCACCTATTGTACTCCACTTCTGACTATAGTCAATTTTACTATTCCTTTAGTAAAGTAAAGGCTTACACAAGACGGTTTTCGCCTAAGACTGCAGTTCCTGGTTTACTACAGCCCTATATAGCTTATACTTAGCTGGTGTCACAAGTATGTGAGTTGCTACTTGGTAAGTGGGAAGAGAACATAGATAAGGAAATTTTCATAACATATCCCAATTAAGAAAATTAACCTCCAACATGGAAGCTATTAATGAGAAAACATCCAAGGTCAAATTACATTAACAATTGTCACCTGACATTCATACAGGCAGATTTAGATTGATGCTTTTATTTTGTATTTCAGTGTGGCAGATTTGCCAAGAGAAATGAAGATCCGAGCCGTGTCAGTGTTGGGATCTTCCATCCTTACAGCCAAGCTGGAGGAGGAGGAGAAAGAGTGCTGTGGTGCGCAGTTGAAGCTCTGCACAAAAGGTTGGCTCCCATTATTATTTTCTCTTCCCCACATCAAACTAATTCTTTCCTATAAATCAATATCAATAATTTTTTATGCCAAGTGAATTGTTATGGCCCTATGATTCTGTAAATTTATTTTGATACAGAATAACGTTTTGTACTTTCTAATGCATTATTTATCAGTGTTTGCATTGATCCATAATCATTTTTCTATAGAACTGTCAAATTCAATCATGTAAAGCTATATATTATTTTGCAAACTTGTACTTATGTTAAAATATTAGGAATGAAAATGTATTAAATATCAAACAATTCCTGTGACCACATTTTAAATTAATTGACTTATTACTGTTCTGTTTAACCCTAATATTTGATTATTGTGACTGTTTTTTTCTGCTTTCTGCTTTTATTGTTTTAGTTTTTTCCCTGCTTTTATTTTATAATGGCCACTCCTCCATTCATCGGTTCCATATATAGTCTTATCTTCAGACATGCATGCCTTTTAGTCAGTTCCAAGTCAAGTTTCTTCTTGACTCTCTAAATTATTAAAAATGTATTCTTTTGCCCTGTATTGCCAAGCTGAAATTCAACACGCGTTTTTCTCCCAGTTTGCACTAGATGCTTATTTTAATTTTCACTGGGGATATTTTTCGGTTTGGGCTGTTTCTCTATTACTTACTTGAAGTTCTCACTCTAAGGTACCCTCATGTAGACTGCATCATATACTCTGGTGACCGCGTAGCTGACGAGACTGAGGTCCGTGAACACGTGATGGAGCGCTTCAACATAACGCTCTCTCGCCGCGTCACCTTCGTCAACATCTCGACTCGCCCGCTGCTGGAAGCACGCTACTACCCACGCTTCACAATGATGCTACAAGCCATAGGCTCATTCTTTGTGGGTATCGAAGCTCTTGCTCGGTACAGACCTGAAGTATTCATTGACACCATGGGATACTCCTTTATCTATCCGCTTGTGAAAATAATGGCGGGACCAGAATGCAAGGTGGCGTGCTACATCCACTACCCTATCATTAGCAATGATATGCTTGGAGTTGTTCAGGAGAGGGAAGAAGCCCATAATAACGCTGCTATCATCGCTAATAGCAGCTTTTTGACTTCGCTTAAAAGTCTCTACTACCAGGGCTTTGCCAAAGCGTACGGCTGGGTGGGTCGTAGAGCAGACGTTATAATGGTGAATTCATCGTGGACGAAAGGACACATCTCATCAATTTGGGGCGCAGCTGACAAAATACAATTGGTTTTTCCTCCTTGTGACATTGACAAATTTGCTAGTCTGGAAATAACCCCATACAAAAACAAACTATTGAAGAAAATTGTATCAATTGGACAGTTTAGGCCTGAAAAGAACCATGCTTTGCAACTACGATCCTTCAGTCGTCTCTTGCACTTGATCACTGAACGTGAGAGTGACATTGACGCCATTGAGGTGCAATTAGTTCTTGTGGGCGGGGTACGCGGAACCGGTGATCAAGAGAGAGTCGCGCAACTTCAAGACTTGGCAGTTAACTTAGGCATAGACAATCAAGTCGAGTGGTGCATTAATCTTCCCTTCTCTCAAATGCTAGAGTTGATGAAGGAGTCGTGCGTCGGACTCCACACTATGTGGAATGAGCACTTCGGCATCAGTATCGCCGAGATGCAGGCTGCTGGACTCATAACTGTTGCAAATAATTCGGGTGGACCTAAGATGGATATAATTGTCCCGCACCATGGCCAGGCTACTGGACTCTTGGCCATTAATGAAGAAGACTACGCTGAAAGCCTCTACACTGCGCTCACTATGACTGACCATGAGCGCGAACAAATGACGACAGCAGCTCGGTTTAGTGCAAAAAGGTTCTCTGATGCAAACTTTGATGAGAAGTTCAATCTTGCCATTCGTGAAATCTTAGACAATGCGACTAATTAATGGTTCGTTTTTGTGGCTTATGTACTTTCCTTTAAATGTATCATCTTTTTAATCAAATTAAATTGTATATGACGAATATTCAGTTCACTCAGGTTGAACCTGTTTCACAGTAAATTAATCCTAAAATATTCTCCTTAAAGTTGCTAGTATGTAAGTGCACAAAAAAGCCATCTATTGAATTGTTCAGCTCAGCTATCATTGATGCACCTCTTTCGTCATGCGCTTATATTCACTACCTAAAGCAAGAAGTTCTTCATTTTTCTTGTATTACCAACTGGTATGCAGTTTTATCAAGTGTCAGCTTGTAAAATATTTTTATTTTAGAATATGAGTAATGTTTTTAGTGTGTTGCTTTACCATCTGTGATATTGTTAGCTATCCATAAATTTTAGTTCGTTCATGAAATATTCATTTGCATAAATTTATCATATTGTTTATTGTTATTTCTAAAATCCTTGAACTCATTGTTTGATTAAAACTTCTATGCCAATTTCCCCGCTTATCATTTTAGTGTCATCTGCTACGTTAGCTTCACTTTACTCCATGTTAATGTATCAATGAGCCAAGTTGACTTCTGTGTGGGCAAGAGGTTCGGATATACTAGACAGCTTGTCAGGTAAAGGCTTTAAGGTTATGCTCTGTTCCTTTGCCATAGATGACGAATCATCCAATTGGTCCAATTTATTAATTTAATATATAACTAGATTGAAAGTTAGAAGGTGCGTCTTAAAGCTTCACGAACATATTTGTGGTGATCGATGACCGAAAATGATTTACAATAAACCCCCATTTCCCTGGAGCGCCTTCTGCTTACGTCAGTAAAGAGACAAATTATTTAATTGTGTCCCTAGATTTGTTCTGTTTACTATATATTTAATTGATGTTGCAGTGTGAAGTCGTACTTTTTGTTGTTCATGGGCCAATTTTTTTGCAATTATTTGATATTTGCAGGGCAGTGAGTAGCTTGTACGCAGAAGTGATTGTGAATAAATCTTGGCACTATTTTAGAGAGCAAACATGCTAAGCAGCACTCCTCCTCCATCTACCAGCAAACTTAATTATAATAGCTTCGCTTCTAGTCCACTTGTAAACTGGCGCATTGCCTCTTGCTTAGTAAATTTTTATTTCGAACACTTAATTTCTATTTTGAAGTTTTCTCATAATTACTGGCTAATAAAACTTGTCTGTAACTTGTTCATGTAACTTGTTCATGTTGAAATATCTTCGATATTTCAAAGTTTTAGAAGAAAAATGAGAAATTTTCTTGTTATTTATATTAATTATAAATAATATTGTTCCTTTTACATAAATGATGATAGAAAAATGTTTTGTTTGTGGAGGAGTTTCACGTACAGACAAATTTGTAAGCGATGCTATCTGGAAGTTGCTGCATGTCGCAGCCGAGCTCATTAACAGCAAGCCACGAGCGCGGACGGTCAGAAATCCTTGACTGTTGGTCGTGTAGCTGTAACATTTACATTTTAACATGAGAATCTCTGCATGTATTTAATCAGCTATTGTGTGCTTCAGAATCTTTGTATTTCTCAGGCAATGTTTCATTCACTACAGGGCAAGGAAATAGGACTTTGAGAACATATTTTCCTACTAGCAAATATGAATGCGTTCTGTTCCAAACCAATTCAAGTTTCCATTACCGCTCCCAAGCACTTAGTTGTTTTGCTGATGCCTGGACACAAATAACGCCAGTATTCTTGCGACTGAAGCAAGAAAGCGAAACGCTGTTTAGTTGGTTCAAATTTTTGGTGATGAGTTGAATTTACATGAACCCTGTGCCCTGCATTACAGTGCATCTTATCTAGGAGATTTTTCATTTTCCTGTAAGTTTTTTTGAATTATTAAGTCGAGTTGAACTCGTGTCCATTAGTAATCTCTTTTATATCAGGTATTTCAAGCAACTACTGATTTGGTGCGCTGGAGAATATAGGTACAGCAGGCATTCTCCTATATTCTTAAATTAATCGTGAACGCCGATAAAATATTGAGTCTCGTTGCAAGCATTAGTTGGCAAATAGGTTGTAACTTTCTGAGTTTCATAAGACGTTACCTATTTGTGCGCCCTAATTGATCAACGATACTCGAGATTCTCCTGGGTAATTTCTTTGCTTGTCGACTATTTAAACCGTATAATAACATCATTGGAAAGGTTAATGAAATTTCCAGCTTTCGCGTGTTGTCTGGTTCGCAAAAGGCCCTCAGGGGCTCGTGTCTGGGCTCGTCAGAAGTCCTATGGGATTTCGCGCTCCTAGGTGGATTGTTCCTGAGCGCCCCACCGCTGAGCTCGCGGTGTCTGACTGCGGGTGTTGTGGGGTTAAGTTATTATGTAGGTAGGATTCCTTACATTAAGTTATTATGTAGGTAGGATTCCTTACAATAAGTTATTATGTAGGTAGGATTCCTTACATTAAGTTATTATGTAGGCAGGATTCCTTAGATTACGCTATTATGTAGGTAGGATTCTTTATATTTCCCTTCTGTCTCTCTCGTGCGGGCGGCCGACGTCCCGTGAAAGCGATCTCTTGTTCGAGTGTCTTAGTTTCAGTTGTTTATCACCTGTCCCTCCTTGTCACTTCGCCTCTTTGAGATGGTAACGCTGCTTCTTTCGAGCCAGCTGCTGTGGGTTGGAAAATTGAGACCTTCCGCCCCCTATGGGCGGTGATTAATTTGAGACTGAATTATTGATGCCTTCAGCCTTGCTGGCGATTTTATCTCTGGAATTCCGATGCGAAATAGCTTGATAGCTGAAGCACTAGTAAACTGTTCTACTACTAATACTGGTTCGCAAAAAATCGCTTCAATGGTGTCGGGACAGGGTAGCCGATTGGTCCAGATAGACAAGATTAGAGCATCTAGTTGCGGGTCCCAGTAAGCTACTAGTAGCTGTGGAAAATTAGGTTGAAATCTACCAAATGGTCGAGTGCTTAATGGGAAAGAAATATCGCAGCTGTGAGAGCATAAAAGATCAAGAAGGTTAATTTTTTATTAAAACAGCAGCTATTAATTTTTTCCCGTGTACCCACATAGTAATATTAATAGCGGTTTCAGCGTTCATTGGGCCGTAGGCCTGCCGCCGATTCTTCACACCGTAGATGATTCACAGCTTGTTGCGGTCTCGAACTCTCAAGTCACTGCTCCAATTTTGCTTGCTAGACCGCCCGGCCTCCTCGCCGATTCTGACGAGAAACTCGCGCATAGAGCATTGGTGTTTCTGTTGAACACTAACTTAAACTTCAATACAACAATTAACGGTGGAGTGACTGAATGGTATAAGTACACAGCAGTAAGAAAAAATGAAGCAGTGACTTGTGGGTACTATTCCCACAGCTAAGTGTTAAAATTCTGAGCGAAACCGGCACGGTGGCTGTTGGTTAGTAAAATCAAGGTTGGAGTAGTGAGATGCGGATTAAAATCCTCGTCAAGCTGTTAAATTCAGCAATGTCAATTCAGGTGGAATAGGTGTTAAGCCAAGATTTGATGTCATCAAACCGGCAGCATTATTACCGACAATCCATTTTTTTATTTCAAATTAGTGGCAAATAAGAATAAGTCATCGGGTAACTTCCGTTTGCCGAACTTCAGTCTCTTTTAATGTTAGGATCTAATCAATGAATTGGAAATGTTGTCTTGAAACGATCTATCTATAGGTTCTGTAGTCTGGTTCTGTAGTGCTGAATCGTTCTCGATGAGCTGGCTGATATCAAGCAAATTTAAGTGCGTTATTTTTTACGTTTAAGTTAGAAAATCGACGAGACGGCATAGGCAATGAATAAATCAATTTTAGCTTGTAAAATTGTATATGCTCCTCGGTAAAGAATTTTTACGGAAATTTTTCGTTTAGCTATGTAAATCTCTTTGTTGAGTTTGATGGTTAAGAAGTCGAGAAAACATCGTAATATATGCATAATTAGCTGAGATAATAATTTTTAACTTTTTTCAGGCATTTCTGACTAATTAGGAATTGTTCGTGATCACGCCGAGCCGCCGAATATGCTGTAGATTTGCGTAAGGACTGCCGTGCTACCTACGTACGAGAATGTGACGCTGTTGTGAGTGGGATAATGGGATTGTCTCTTTTTGGAGGACTAGGACGGCGATAAGTGTGTGGTACAGACTTACAGTGGTTGTGAGTTAAACTACAGTGAATTGTCAATTGAGTGAGCAGTAGGTGTACCGTGTAAGGAATATAGTGACAATAGTGAACATTTTTTTAGGGTCAACATACAATTTCTGAAATAAATTAAGCCTACTATGCAGTAAGCATTGCTTCATAAAATGACAAATATATGTGCCAGGCCCAGTGGCCCAGGCAGGTTTCACATCCAACATGGCTTATGGCTACAGTCTAGTGACTACAGACACTCTACCGGTACACATTACACAAATCTTCAAAGACCTACAGACCCAGTTTACAAACATTACAACAGCCTACACTGATGGTTCTTGAATTACAGAAACTTCAGCTTCAGGTCATCTTCATCAGCTGGCAGCTGCCAGCTGCTAATGCTATAGACTATAGAGTATTCATTCAGTATGGTGCACTGGTGCAGCAATACCTTCCAATTTCCAAAGGAGTTCTCCTTAACTGGAAACTCCGTTGGACCGTCCTGAACCTGAAGTGTCCATCCTTGGGAGAATGGGAGTTGGGCTTGAAGTAGAACTATATGCAAATTGCCATCCATCAACCATCATGATCCATATTACATCATCCATGAAGCTCTTGAGTGGGCACTAGGCCCAATTTCGCCCAAAGGGCCAATTTTCCCACCAAAGCCCCAAACAACCTTGAAACATTAAATTAATGAAAAGTTTGTTATATTTACACTTTTACTGAATACTGACTCCCTTCCCAGCTTCCCTTAGTTCACTGTAGGTACCTAATTGCTGATAGAAAATCACATTCTTATGTACTTCTTATTTTTCAGATCCAAGATAAGCTGATGGCTATGACAACCCCACATGATCAAAAACTACAGTTCATTCCAGGATTTCCAGGGCATTAAGGCATTGCTGGGAACATAGTGACAAACCAGAGATTTTTTAGAATAAGTTCATTTTTAATTTCCTGGTTTACTCAAGATTTAAACCAAATTCTTATGTATGATAATGCTGCATGCTGGTATTATCCATGATACTTTGCTCAGTTTGCTGGTCTTATTAAGACCAGCAATGGGAACCAGACTATAAAGCATTGTTGTTGTTAGTTGCTTGGCGGTGCCTCACAGAGGCGGTCAGTTGCTCCAGGGTTAGGCCAGAGGTCCAGTGGAGTCAGCAAGGTGGGGCAGCTGAGGAGGTGATGGGTGGTATGGTCCATAGTGCCACACTCAGGGCAGAGAGGGCTATTAGCTGCACCAATGCGGGCAAGGAACGAATTGAGCCGTGATGAGTAGCCAGAGCGGAGCTGGGAAAGGGCGCTTCTGGCAGCCCTGGGGAGGGAAAACTCGCTGGACAAGACAGAGGCGGCGCCAGCAGTGGTCAGCAACACTTTGTTAGGAGCTGCTAAGGCCAGGTAAGAGGAGACAGCGCAGCTGTGCAGGGTCCTGAGGACAGTGGGTGGGAGTCAGGGGCAAGTGAACCCTCCTCCAGCAGGTGAGAGACTGAAGGGATGAGTCGTCCCTCCGGCTCCGGGATGACCCATTTTGCCAAACACGGACACAACTCCCGGACCTGCTGTGAGCCATTTTTTTTTGGCTGTAAAGCGTGGCATAACATAGGTTGAGGATGCCAATTTCATGAACCAAAGAAGCCAAGATGGATGCCACTGGATGCTAGCTGCCAATTATACTTCTGGTTCTCCATAAATTGCAATTTATGATCCGTATGGTCGATGCGTCAAATTGCTCTACATGGCAGTACGGCACAATTGTAACTACACGTCATAGCCATAGCGCATAGTTATAATGGCTGTGAGAGCTACATTTGAGCACCAAAGCATACATGCTCATGGCCACCTGAGCTACGCGCTGTACTGTTCAGTTCTGATTGCAGTGAGAGTGTCTATTTGAGCAACCAAGCATACATGCTTGGAGCAACCTAAGCTACTTGATGTAGCGGGCAGTTCTAATTGTTCTGAGTGCGTATATTTGAGTGCTCACATTGAGAGAGCCTCACGGCACTGATGATGGATAACAAACCAGCTTGTGATAAGTAGTTTTAAATAAACAGACTACATTATTAGTCAAGCCACCAGAACTATGTGCATACCAAATCCAAACCCAACCCAGTGCAACCCAAACCAAGCCAACCCTATTCAACCTCAACCAATTCATCCCAA